TAAATCCCAGCATTGGAACGCCAAGGTGGGATCACGAGGTCGAGGATGATCGAGCGTCCTGGCTAACATAGTGAAAGCCCATCTCTACTAAAAGTACAAAAAAATTAACCGGGCGTGGTGGCGGGCGCCTGTAGTCCCAGCACTCGGGAGCTGAGGCAGGAGAATGCGTGAACCCGGGAGTGGGAGGTTGCAGTGAGCGAGACTCGACACCATACATGCGGAGATCGCACCACTACACTCCAGCCTGGGCGACAGAGTGAGACTCTGTCTCAAAAAGGAAAAAATAAAATAAAATAAAATTTGACAAGTCAGGTCAAAGTCCCCTGTGAGGCTTCCCCACCCGGTCCCCCTCCACTTCCCTCCCTGAAGACGATAAGCAAGACAGGTAGCTTTGCCTCGCTTCCCGCTTCCTGGCTCAAAGGCTCCATCCTTCCCCCAGAGGCTCTCACGCGGGCCTGTCCACCCTGGGATTCCTTTCTGTTCCTCCTTACACCCTCTTGGGCTCTGTGCTGCTCTGTCCAGAAAAGTGTAGGTCACTAGGAAATTTAGACCAGGACAGACTGTTCTCTGCACTGTCACAGGAAGACCCAGCTCACCATGAAAGGTTGATTACTTCTGCCCTGTGTCTCCCTTTGTCTCCTCTCCCGTTCCCTCCCCTCCCCTCCCCTTTCCCTCCCTCCCTCCTCTCTTCATTTCCTTCTATATCTCTCTCTCTCTCCCTCTCCCTCTTTCTTTTTCTTTCTGTTTTGAGACAGAGTCTCACTGTCGCCCAGGCTGGAGTGCAATGGCACGAGCTTGGTTTACTGCAACCTCCGCCTCCCAGGTTCAAGCGATTCTCCTGCCTCAGCCTCTCAGGTAGCTAGGATTACAGGTGCCTGCCACCACGCCTGGCTAATTTTTGTATTTTTAGTAGAGATCGGGTTTCACCATGTTGGTCAGGCTAGTCTCAAACTCCTGACCTCAGGTGTTCCACCTGCCTCGGCCTTCCGAAGTTGTGGGATTACAGTTGTGAGCCACTTCGCCCAGCCAAGATGATTGTTGAGCACTAGTGAGAAACCGGGCCAGAGTGTCTGTTTAGGAGCGAGGCTCGCCCTGAATAGACCAAAAGAGCTAAATTATGTTCACTGCGAGAGCAGACACCTTCCCCTTCCCCTGACAGGGCACACGGCTACAGCAGCCCGGCTTACTTCTGGTTTGGGTTGGGCAGCAGGGACTCTGGCT